GCTTCCCATCTATTGATTAATTTTTTAACTCAATAATTAGTTATATTTCTGACTGAGAGTCTAAGTATCTCTATTTGTCTTCATTGACTCCTTTCCTTTATAAGGGTTGAAAATGACTCTTACTGAATTAAAATCTTCAATGATATCTTAATGCTACTGTTGTAAGTAGTTCAAAGTCATTATTTTCAACAAAAAATTTCTTTGCACATAGCAGGCTGTACCCCATACCTGTGTAGGTCTACATCTGGGTGTGATGGGGCCTTTGTAACTCTGGGCTCTATAACTTCTGAGGCCCTTTTCGAAGAAAAAAATGCACAAGACTAACCTGGTTCGGGGGGCCTCTGTGAGCGAGGGCACCCGCGCCGGGGCCTGGGGGCCGCTCGCCAGGCCTGCGCTGGAGCTTCTCGCCGTGTTCATCCAAGGACAGAGGGACTACCGAAGGCCTTAAGGAAGGCCATTTTATTTCCTAAGTAACAGCCAGGAATAGGGTTTAAAAAAAATCTTTGGTTTTCATATAAATGTGTATTTTTTTTTTCTGTTTTCTTGTCCTTGGGTTTCTAATTTAAAACAGGTAACGCTTCATCCGGTTACCAGTGTTATTTTAGGAAATTATCTCCCAGACATATAATGTCCCAAAACAACACCATGTAAGATAAAGATGCTCTGTTTATAGAAAATTCACAAGGTTTGATGGCCATCGTTTTCTGTATTCCCTGGTCGAAGAGTATAATGTATTCCATATTTTGTTGCTGTTTTCTAGTATTAAATATGTCAACATTTTACTTCAGAGTCATAAAAGTTAGTGAGATAGTTCTGATGAATAGCAATGAGGCCAGAGAAAAGAATAATGCTTAACATGAATTCTTCAGGAAACCCATTAATGTTTTTATGAGTAGTAGTAAAATTTTGATCAAAGGCTAGCAGAGAGTGAGGTCTGGCTACCTGATCCCCAAATATATTCTCCACTGAGTTCTGTCTACCAGTGTGAAAATAGCCTGGGGTTGTGTCAAGCCTAAAATCTCATCGCTCCCAAGACTGAGACATTTTACATTTCAGCATGCACAAAATGCTTTATATGGCTGTGTAGCCTTTCCTAGGGCACACACACTCTAACTTTTATAGTACTTTCAGGTCCCTGATTGACTTTTTGCGGATCTCTAAATTTAGTGTATTTTGGCATTCTGAATTGTGCAATATGTGTGCAGGTAAAATCCGGTATGTTGTATGAGTATATGGAGGTATTTAAATATTTTTTGAAGAGGTTCTTGTTGAGGCAAGGTAAGCAACTCTAATACTGGATAAGTGATAATTAATATTTGAAAATGAGAGTGATAGTGCCTTTGTATTGCTTCAACATTAAGAGTCATTCATTCATTCATTCATTCCATGAATGTTGAACCCCCAATACACAAATTTAATGAAGACCAGAGTATAAAAATTGAGGACAGAGATATAAGGACATGAAATAAGTGTAACACTTCAATTTGTTTGAAGATTAAGTACCACTTCCCACCAATCCTGGGAGGTGGTACTTAATCTCAAATAATTCTTCATCATAATAATAAGTTTGTGGCAACCATCACATCTATCAGACCCTTCCTAGATGGACTGACGTTATCCCTTAAATAGAAATCCTGTCTTCATTTGTTAGCTAATAAACACTCTTCTCTGGGTGAAAGCCAAGCCTAGCGACAGAGCAGAAGACAGGATCGCGTGATCTGGTTTGCCAGTGGATGTCACCAGGTGCTGGAACAAGAGATTCGTCAATGCTAACCTCAGCACCTATTTTAAAGAAGCCAAAGGCAACCAAAATGCTGAAGTCTGTTCCTTTGGATGGAAACTATGTACAACAGCAACCAATTCATTTTCCTTGAATATTGGGTCTTTTGGGTAAGCTTTTGATAAATATTAAGCTTTTGATGAAATAAATATACACTTAATGCCAGACACTGTTCTAAGCATTTTATATCTGCTATGTCATTTAATATTTATAAGTCTTATAGCATTTAGGGATGAAGGAAAGGAAGTACAAAAATTAAGACCACTAGTAGCTGGTGGAGTCAGAATTTGAACTTAAATACACCCAAGCCAATCTCCTTTTTAACCATTACTGAATCCCAAACGCCTTCTTATTTGGGTTAACATCCTTCGTGAAAGTTGAGGATTTGAAGAAAAGGGGGAATGATGAGATCAATTTCTCTGTTGAAAAGTCAGAGCAACGAGAATTGATATGAAAAGAGTATGTGGGTTGGCGCAGCCCAGGGAGGGGAAAAGACAACATCAAGTTCAATGCGTATTTCAGAAAATCCTTCCTTGTTGTTCTTTTTTTCAACCTCTTCAAATTGTGAACTGTGTTGGTTCAAAGTATGTCTGTGAATTCCTCGATGCTCTTTCCTTTAAGACGGAAATTCCCGTCCCCTTGAGGGTGGGCTGGACCTTAGCACCTCGATTCTGCTGGAGTGACGCCGGAGGGGCGGCGTGCAGCTCTGCAGATGGCGCCACGCAAGGCACGGTGGCCTCCTCTCTCCTCTGTGGGACCACTTCCTCAGGTAAGTTAGCTGCCATCCTAGGGACAAATAGCCTAAGACCAGGGCCACCTGGTGAGAAACTGTGGCCTTCTGCCAATAGCTACGAGACACTTAAGTCTTTTTGGCCAACTGTTTGCTACCTGAAGGGTAGCAGAGCTTGTACCCCAAATATGTCTCTTCTAAATATTGTTTTAAGCTAGTTATCCTCAAGACTCAAAAGACTCAGTGAGCACCTTTGACTTTCCCATAAATGCTGAGAAGAATTCAGATAGAAGAGCTGCCCCAGGAAGAGACACGCCATCGCAGGTGTCTACAGTTCAATGTGAACCAGGTGTGACTGGGAGGGACCCAGCGAGACCCGTCTGATCAAGCCCTCCCTCCGTTCCAGGGTTAAGGAGGGCCCAGCAAACGTGCATTTACCAAACATTTCCCTCCTCCCCTCTGAAGCCCCAGACTATCTTGTCTTGCTCCGTAGCTCTGGGTGGCATAGAAGCTTCAACTTCCTGACTTATCCCCCGGTCTCATATGCTTAAGGAACCCCTGTATATACACAATTAAATTTGGTTATTTTCTCCTGTTAATCTGTCTCATGTCAATTTGATTATTAGATAAGTCCAGAGAAGGATAAGAAGAGAAAATTTCCCCTCCCCGACAAACCCAGCTCACAAGAGCCTCTGCAGAGCCAGAACTGCACAGCAATGTCACCCATGGGTGCTGGACCCTTGGAACCTCTGTGAGATAATACATGTTTCTTAATTAATGGTTAGCTTTAGGGGTTATTTGCAGCACAACAGTATAAACGTGATGTACAATCTAGCAGGCATACCTCTCAAAACCACAAAACAGAATAAATCAAAATAAAGTATAACTCATTACCTTGAATTTCCAAAGGATGGAAAAACACATGAAAGACAGCAACCTTCCTTTAGGTGAGGTTTTCCCCGAATTCTGCCAACTCGAAGATGTGAGAGCAATTCAGTTCACTTCCCATGCAATTTCCCATGATTTGGAGCTTAAATGTTGTGTTCCTTACTTACATTGTCGTATTGTGTGGAAAGGGAGAGAGAAAGGAGTTCAAAAGTTCAAAATGACATAAACCCTTCAAAGTCCTTTAAGGCCAGGCAAACACCTGAATGCAGAAGATGGACCAGAAAGCTCCCCACTGGATAGAGCAAGTTAAGATCTTCAGATCCAGCCTTAGCGAGTGAAACACCAGTGGGCGATTCCCAGGCGGAGGCACACCGTTCAGCCCTTAGCTGAATGCTCTGTAACTCATTTTGAAAGAAGACACTCGCTAGCTTTCCGACCCCGGGTGTGGCTGCCTGCTCAGGCCACACACGACCGACAGACCGACTGACCGGCAGGTCCCCCGCAGTCAACAGCGACAGCCGAGGGTGGAGACTGCAGCCCCATTTCCGTGATTTCAAAGGCGAGCTCGCATCCCTGAGTGTTCGTGCTAATGCAGCCACGATTATGAACTCAGAGGTGTTTTTCCCAAGCAAGCATCATGGTGTCTCATTAGTTTTCAGCTGCCTGTCCTTCTGCTTTGCCGCTTAGCCCGGGGCTTTGTGAGCTGACGCATGACAGGCAGGCGTCTTTACAAAGGGCGACAGATGCCGGCTGATGCACAGGTGACTCAGTGCCCATCCCCAAGCTGGGCCAGGGTAGCCCGCCTCTGCCACCGCCACTCACCCCGGCGCAAGCCCCTCCTGAAGCTGCCATTTGAAAAGAAATGGTTTCCCATCCAAATTCAATAGCATTTTATAAGCACATATACTTTCCTCCCTTTCCAGCCTACATGAAATTTAATGTCAGGATTATTGTCCATTCGTCGTTTCGGTTTATATTCAGCAAGCCTTTCACCTCCCATCTCCGTGTCCCCTGCCCTTCGCCGTGCACTCGCGCCGGTGGGCTCTTGGAACAAACCTCTTCCACGTTTCTTACTCCGCCTCCCGAGGAGGCACCCTCAGTGGTGCTCATCTCAATTTAAAGGGATTTTTATGACACCATAGCATTCCACGTTTTCCACATTAATCTGCAGTTTACTTCTTGAAATACTTAGGCAAACAACATTGCTAAGGCATCGCTGGTGGGGAGTTCTCTTTCCCCTTCATGCCCGTCTACCTCAAGCCAACTTAGAAGAAATCATAAATTTCTGCTCTAAATCAGCCGAGCACTGGAAGAAAACTTTAAAAGGCAGGTCTAGCGATTCACAACATCTTAAACACAATGACAACCAATTGAAGCAGACAATCTCCCCGCCCTTCCAAAAAAGAATATCTATCCATCATTGATCTATCACATCTGGAATCCTATATCTTATCTAAGACATTTTAAATCTATTTTCTCATGTATCAGTTCAGACACGTCCGCGTCCACATGAAAAATGAAAACAACACACGTGCGTCATCCCGGCCAGTTTGCCAAAGCAAACACGCGTGCACCTCGGACCCCCAGTGCCGCCGTACTCACCCCGCAGCCCAGGCCGTCGCCCGCGTCGCAGGCGACCTCCCTCTGCCACGGCTCCGGCAGCAGCCCGGCCCCGCAGCCCGGCCGGGGGCACAGCACGCCCCCCATCCGCAGCACGCACTCCTCAGCGCCGTAGTGCTGGTACCGGTCGTACTGCAAAAGCAAAGTCACTGTTTAAAATAACCATGCATGTACTAGCTGTTTCAGGCAAAACTTAACGGGTTGGCCCCATGCGAGTTTTCTTGTTAATCCATTTCAGCAAAAAATGAGGAGGGGGTGGGTAAGGGGTGGTCCAAAGTCCCCCAGTTCCAAGGGGTGAAGCACGTAAGGGAAGTATTTATTCCTTGTATTTCTAGAAACTCGTCCTCAGAAAATACATTTCGCAAAGTTTGTTTTTGAATACTACTCCCACCAACTTCGTTTAATAGTGTTGTTTTGTACAGATTTTAGGGAACGTCTATATTCCAAGTTATGAACACTTAAAACGCATCACTGGCGGTCTCACCACGTGGTGCATTTCACGCCTCCACTCAGGAGTCCGCAGGGTTTTAGAACCAGCTTGAAAATGGGTCCCACTATTCCCCGCCAGGGTAACAGTCGGCAGCCCACACGACACCACCGAGCACCGTCAGCATGATGTGAGAGACTAACGATACAGAGCCCCATTCTCCTCTCATCGTCTCGTTCTGAACGCTGATTTCTGTTATCCCGACACCAGCTCTCTGTGCGCTGCTGGCTCAGCTCCCTGCCATGGCTTCCCAGCCTGCAGAATAAGGCCCAGACTCTGCAGCCCGGTGGTTGAGGTCTTTCTGGCTGTAGCTCTAGTTACTGTTCTCACATTATTTGACCATATTCTCCTCTAAGCTAGGATGGAATCCAATGCATTTGTTCAGCTATTAATTGGTTTATGCAACGTTTATGGAAAGCCACAATGTGCCAGGCTACTGTGGGTGCTGGGGACAGAGCAGTGAGCAGACATGTCTGCATGCACCACAAGAGTGTGACAATAAACTCTGAAAGATTAAACTGTATCGTGTTTCAGATGGGACGTGTGGGAAGGAGAATAAAAAAAACAGAGAGGAGATAGATTCCAGGGAAGACTGCAGTTTAAAGAGGTGATTAGGGAATTGGGAACGCCTTACAGATAAGGTATGTTGAAGGAGACACCTGAGATCAGGAGCTGAGAGAAGCAAGCCAAGTGGCCACCTGGGGCACGAGCCTCCCGGCCAAAGCTGCAGCATTATCAAGGTCTGGAGGCCACAGGGCGCTCGGTTCGTTTGAGGTGCAATGAGGGGGCCGGGGTGACTGAAGGAGGGCAGAGAGCGAAGGAGCAGGAGGTGAAGTCAGACATTAATGGGGGTCTGGGATGCAGAGGCCCCTGAAGGCCATTGGAACAGCTCTGGCTGTGACCCTGAGAGACAGGGGAATCACCGGAGACGCTGAGCCGGGGAGTGACATAATGTGATGAATCTTTTTAAGAGAGCCCTATGGCCGATGGGTTCAGAAGGGGGCAAGGGCGAAAGCAGGAAGCAGAGAAGCAGGGAGGGGATCATATCAGTGGTCCACCTGCGAGGGGTGGGGGCTTAACCAGGAAGGCACTGCCTGTGGGTGGGCGTTGGTGGGGAGTTCTGGATAGATCTGGAAGGTAGTAATGGCGAGGTTTCTAGAGTGAAAGAGTCAAGCATGAGTGTGATGTTTTTCTCCAAGAAGACAGAAAGAGAAAGAGAGTATTACCGAGATGGGAACACCTGCAAGAAAAAAGCTTGGGGCGGGGTGGGGGTGTGTGTGTGGGCGGGGTGGGGTGTGTGTGTGTGTGTGAAGCTGGGGAAGGGAATTTGTGCTCATATTCAGTTTGACAACACAGCAATGTCAAAAATGTTGAGTGGCTGATTGGATATATGAGTTTGGAGTTGAGGAGAACGTGTGGGTTGTGGGTACACACTTAGGCGTCCTGGGTGCAGGTGGAGTTGGGAAGGAGAGAGCCCGCCTCCGGACTGCTTGTTTTCCTGGCCCCAGGGGAGAAAGAGAGCTGCTTCAGTCAGATCCCCTTGTTCCTGTGCCCGTGGTGCGCACACCCATGGCACTTGCTAGAGAAACGTCCTTATCTATGGAGTACGTTCAGCAGGAAATACTTGGTGTAAAGTTGCTTATGGTAAACAAACTAGAGTGTGTGAATTTGTGGGAAAAGACTCTCTGGAACATGTCATAAGCTATGCAATTATCAAGGCAGAAAAGGAAGATATGTCATTAAGATGTGAATGATGAGACAGTTTATACAATTGAGAGACTTCATGCTGGTGATCATTTCATGAGACCTTATTTACTGAATCCGGCCTAGAGTGCACCCTGCTCTGTGGAGAAAGGGCCTGGGGGGCCGTGGGAAATACCCAGAGGAGGACGCGGCCGTCGGTGCTGAGCACCATCTACTGAGAAGCCGGATAAGGTGAGGTCGGAGAGGGCCAGTCCCTTCAGACCTCACCACTCTCCTATTACTCCCTCCTTTCATGTATTTGTGTCTCCTGAATTTTGCATAATATCTTGTCCATAGCTGGTACACAATAGTTGCAGAATGAATTAATGAAATATAACTCCACTAAGTGTCAATGAAAGAATTCTAATAAAATTATCAATGGCAAGGGAATTAATAACAGTGATACAGGATGGTTTTACCTTCATAAATTACTTTCCTATTTTCAATAAATTGCTTTTAAGTAATTGGCTATTTTCTGATTTGGCGACAGATTATTTATCTACTTAATTTAGTTAGGCGATTTTTCTGCTATGACAATAGCTTTTATGTGGGGACACGTTACCCTGTGGACAATGTCCAATAACACTCGGAAACGCTTGCTGGTGGCCTCCGCGGTGGTCTCAGACACGGGCGCAGCGTGTGAACCCACGCCCCTCTTCCTGTTCGTTAGCTGAAGAATTGAGAAGGAACGACTTTACTGGATGCATTCTACTTATGATACCCTCAGGGGTATTTTCTAAAGGAAGACAAATACTTTAACTTATACACCTGGTGATTTCGATGATTAAAAAGTACACACAACATCCGAAATAAAACCCAAGTCTACTGAATGCATTACTTTTTTGAAAACATGGTCATGTTGATTAAAAAAACAAACATATGACCAGGGGCCAATCATGTGTCAGTCGCCACAGAATGTCGAATGCCCCGGGAGGGAATTTAGACCCCGAGTTGAGACGCATTCTTTGCAGACGGCCTTATTCAGCTCCCTTCAAGAGGAGACCTACTTTTCCCCCCAATTCCCTCTCACCGCTTGCTGGCACGAAGTTGAGAGGGTGCTGAAGGGATCCTGCTCTCTCTATGGCAGAGTTGTGACCGATGAGCCCCATGTACACAGTGGCTCTGTTCATCTCAGGGTGAAACAGATGCAGGGGTCGGAGAGGGATTAGCACCCCCTCCTGCGTGCCCCTCCCCCCCACACCACCCTGGGTTAAGAGGAACAAAGGGTGATCCTGATCCAAAGGTGTTTTCCTCAAGGGCTTGTTTACTCATCAGTGTTTTATAAACAGAGCTCACCTGGAGGAAGGTGACTAATTTGTAAAGTGGAGGAGGTCTCCCTAGAATCTCTTCTCTCAGGTGGACGTGGGAGTAGCCAACTCTCTAACGACCACCTGTTTTGCTAGTCTCTGCGGGTTGGTGAGTGTCTGGGTGCTTGTGCGCATGAAGCTACTGACCTGCCCGCTTAAGCTAATATTAAAACTATCTAGATAAACTTCTTTAACATGGATTTGCAAATTTCTAGATAAACTTTCTTACCGTGGTTTATTCACAGACTCTGAGCTAAGATCACTCCGAGTTGACAACATATTTGCAAAAATTTTTGAAAATAAATGTTAATATTAATAAAGCATATTACTATGCACCTAAGGGAAAAAAAATGAAAAAAACTTCCTCCTATACTTCATCAAAATACAGTGGAAATACCTTTCATTAGTATGATCTATCCAGGTAAAATCTCGACCCCTTGCTATAGTTTACATTTTATTTATTTGGGGAGTAAATTATTCCATCTGTGTGTGCGCGCTCATGGATTCTCTTAAGGAAGGAAATGTTCATTTTAAAGTATAAATTCACAGATGTTCCAATAAACTCCTATTTTAAGAATCTAAATAATGAGTCCTGGGCAAGCATAGTCAAACAGAGGTGGGATTTTGGTGGTCTGTAGGTGGGCAGGATATCGTTTTATAATGCAGCTGGAGTCACAGGTTCAAGTACAATGTGGGCCACTCAGCTTTCCCTTTCTTGCCGGGCACTGACTGTGTGATAAATTCGGGGGCCCCTGGGGGCGGGGGCGGGCTGGGGAGGCACAGGGCCTGAGCACCCCGCCCCTGGGCAGCCCTCCAAAGGCCTGCTCCATGTAGGAGGGCGCAGACGGCTTCCTTGTGATGTGTGAGTCACATGCTTTCATAAAAAAGGAAAGTGAGGAGGAATCAAAATGTTAAAACTGCAAGAAATTTGAAGTGCAGGGTACTAGGTAACACTAAAATCTGCGAACACGGGCGAATGTTCACAGGAATGCATCGCAGCTTGTCAGCAGCCCGGAGCTGCGTGGGGGCCTTTCGAGTCCCCTGAGAGCAGAAAAGGAGGCTGTTGTCGGGCTGCGGTGGAATGTTCCAGAGGATCCTTCGGGGGGCACTCAAGTACAGCGGCAAACGCAGCCCCCACACAGGGAGGGCCGGGCTTGCTTCCCCTCTTAAACTCTGGCTCCTGTGAAGTCTCAGCACCGGCACCCGCACCCGGGGCGCCTTCCCTGGGCCCCACCTCTCAGTCCCCTGGGAGGACAGAGACCCCTCTCAGAGACCCCGGTCAGCAAGTGACGGCTCCGCCACGTGCCTACGCCCACCCTGCCCAGGCAGTTAATTCGTCGTCACCCCGGGAAGTAGCAGGTCAGGCCACTGAGTCACAAAGGAGCCCGGTCCTTCGCTGAACTTGGCCCCCGGCCCTGCCTCAGGCCGCGGCGCGGGGGTCTCAGAACCCTTCCCCCACACCACGCCGCCTCACCCTTCTCTCCCCTTTACTAAAAACATTCTCAGCTCCCTCTTTCTTGGCCATCTTTTGGAAAATAATGAAAAACGGTTTATTATAGCACTTTTTTGGATTAAAAAAATGTCTAAAATCACCTTCTAGAGGGACGCAAGCCTCCGATGAGTCCATTCCCCCTTGCCATGTGGAGGATGTCCTATTTTCTCTGTGCATTAGAAAAATTTTTTTAAACCTCCTTAGATTCTCAGAAATCTTGGTCTTATTTTTCTTCATTTCCAGGCGACCGGCCCAGGGGCTCCGGCGACAGCCGGCATGGGGGGCAGGCCGCGCTGCTGTTTATATTCTCTGCCCAGTTGCTAACAATGTTTTCTTCACCCTGGACATCTGTCATCGACTGAGGAAGTCAGTCGGCTGGAGAAAGGGCTGCACCTTGTGCCTGGCGTAGAAAAACAGTCATTACGGCGGCTGAAGTCAAATGAGAGGAGGAACCGATCAAACAACTAAAATATAATTAGAGCCACAGGCTGTGTCTTAGATGGCAATTTATGATTTTTTTTTCAGATGTTCTAGACGACAGAGTGCCAAAAAGTATCTCGACTGCCAGTGGGTGGGGAATCTTCTGGGAAGGAGGTCAAACCAATTGGCCTCTTGGCCGCCTCTGCAGGCTGTGGCCACGGCGGCCCCACCCCCACGGGCCGGCACGACGGGGAGGTGCAGGGGCTAACACTGCGGGCGGGGCGCCAGGGGCCTCTGGAGGCTTTGCTGAGGCCGAGGCTGTCACTTTGCCCTTCACTCTGGTCCCTTGCGTCGCACTCTGCCCCCCCCCCCCCCCCCCCCCGCCCCCGTCCAGGAGCCGGGCCCTGGAGAGACGGCCTGTGCCTTGGGCTGCCTGCAGAGGCGCCTCCTCCCTGCGCCTCCTTTCCACTAGCGCAGTGTTTCACGTCTGCCCCTTCCGCTCACGCTCCGGAAGCTGTTCCCCATCCCGGGGCAGCTGTCCCCCATCTCAGGACGGCTGTCCCTCCCGGCCCGAGGCCGCGAGGCTGGTTTCCGGGCCATTCTGGGGCCAGCGGAAGGGAAGGCAGGCGTTTCATTGCCCAGAGGGCCTGCGTAAGGCTTTGGCGGGAGGCGCTGAAATGGCTTCGTTCCACCGCATTTTGAGGGAGCCAGTGGAATCTGATGGCCCGCACAGTTAAAGAATGCTTTTCTGGATCATGGTAGATGGCTTTACATGCTAATGGACTTTGAGGTGAGCAAGCCCATGGCAGCAAGGACACTTTTTGGAGTGATGGCCGAGTAAGTTGCCTTGATGGCAAGAGGAGATGACAACAGCCAGGTGAGGTGACAATTGCCAGGTGTCCTGGCTGTGCGCCCGCTTCCCTCCGAAGCGCGTCAGAATGCGCCCACCATGCTCACGTCGCCACTTACTTCTGAGACTCGGGCCTACCCTGTTCTTTTTATCTCCGAACTCTCCACCCTGGATGGGCCTGCTTCCCCAGGCCAGCCTACCTTCCTCTCAACCCCCTGCGCCGTGTCCCCGGGGAGCGCCCCCCGCCCCCCCATGACTAACACACTCTCCTACAGACCCTGAAGTAACAGCAAAGTTCTCTGACCCACAGCCAGCCCGTCGCCAAGACCTTTCATTCCGCCTCTGAGCACCCACTTCAAACAGAAGGTTCTCTGCCAACCATCTCATTCCGGCCCATGTGCGCATTGCAGCGAGGCTGCCTTTCTTCACATGGGACCGGGACCGTGCCAGCCGGCTGCCTGAAGTTCCAGGAGCGGGAGTCCCCACGGAACCCAGAACGAAGTCCTAACCCTTCACCGTGGCCTGCACCCTAGATGGTCTTCCTCTTCGTCTTTGACCACAGCCCCTTTTGCTCATCGTCTCCCAGCCACGCTGTTTGGTCACGTGGCCTGAACAAAGCCAGCTGCCCACCAGGGGGCCACTGCCCACATGCTGGGCTCTGCCTGGAATGTCCTCCCGCCCCAGCCCCGGGATCCTCGCTCACTCGGCAGCCGTGCCCTCTCGGCCGTCATGGCGCGGGGCTCCTCGGGGCCTTCTCTGAAGCAGGTTACGTCCCGGTCGCCGTCTGCTTCCATCTTGGCACGTGCCTTGACCTGTGGCTGCGGCTTCCTTGTTGGCCATTTTAAACAACACCAGTGTGGTAATACTACGAAAAGCTCTCCACAAAATATTTGTGGAATGAATGAAGGTTATTTCCTTAAAATTCCAGCAATGGAAGGTGGAGGAAGCTGGCGCAAGGGCAGGCGCTTCGGAAACGCAATGTTCCTGCGGGCCCTCCAGACCCCGTGGGCCAAAGTGTTCGCACCCGTTCCCTTGGGGCTTGGCTGGGCTGTTGGGGTAGCTTTACTGCCTACAAGGTGACAGTATCTTTGCCAAGTAGTTTGGATTGGTCGGGGGTGGTAAACGGTGCTTTATGAAGGTAAATTGTAAACGCAAATCAGAGAGAGGGTCAAGAGGCTAAAGTAAGTGTATTATTTTAAATTTCAATGAGTTTTCATCATATTTTTATTGTAGGAAGGATTTATAGCGTTTAGAGATTTATTTTTAATTCATATCTCAAAAATCAAGTGCGTATTAAAGACCAATGAAAATGGAAGGGAAGCACATTTGAAGGCATTAGACAGGGGTACACAGCTCTACCGTCCAGCGCTACATTGAGTAATTTACCAGTATCTGCGTGGTCTCTATCAATTCACTTTTAAGTGAACATTACACTTACTGTAGTGTAATTGTATATTATTTAGCATTCCGAATCATTTCCTTAACACATCTATTGAAAAGCTGACATGTCTCACAGCACACACAGCATTTAAATGATGTCCCTTAAATCGGGCATATTTTGCAAAAGTCACACGGTCACGTCTGGAGAGAAAGCGGAGGCAGGGAAATATAGATGCCACACAGGAAGCACAAAACCTGGCGCAGGGAGCCGGCCGTCGGCCTGCGGACGTCGGGCCATCTGTGCCGAGCCGTCCCCTGGGGATAACCCTGCTCGGCACTGACTTGTTGGCTCACCTGCGGGTGCTACCTGCTCCTGCTGGCATCGAGAGGACACGCTCTGGCAGACAGCAGAGGTGCCGACTAATATCCTGCCGGGTCTGATGGACGGGAGAGGGCAGGGGAGACCGCAGCCGGCTCCCGGCGTGGCTTCCTGCCCCGCCCGTGGTGCCGAGGGCCAGAGGACGCTCTGCCTCCCTGGAGGGAAGCCAGGCTGTCCCACTGCCGTCTGTCTTTCCCCACCCTCGTGCCCTCGGTGCCGCCTGGGAGAAGCTCACTCACCTGCTCTTCTCCGAGAATCCTGAAGTGATGGAGCTCTTTAATCAAGGAGTTGGGGCAGCCGGCTGTGGAGAAAAAAATGAATTACAAGCATGTTATTCCCGTTCTCTGGGGCAATGTGTTCTGACACACAGGCAAAACTGTCACAGGCAGGGCGACCTGCAAACCCCGTCCTGACCGACCACCAAAGAGCCGCGCCTGCGAGGGAGGGAGCCTGGCAGCAGCCTGGCCCCTCACCGGGACTCTCTGCGGGGGGAGGGTCACACCTGAGCTGGCGGCCATGCCTGTCTCCCCTTCCCGTTGTGATCTGGCCTTCGTGTGGCCTTGGGGTACCACGTCGTTTCTGTCCAGCGTGGTACCTGACCCTAGCAAACGGCCAGGATTTTGTGAGGCCACAGCAGGGAGCTGGGCTACAGGCTCATTTTGCTTATTGGTCACGTCTTGCTTCCTCCCCTCCAGGCCGGCGCCGGTCCATCGGGGGAGCTACGAACGGTGCCAAATGTGCACTTGAATTATCGGGGGATCACCCGTGAATTACACATCGGTCTAACCACTGTGCCGTACACCTGAAACTAACAGAAAATAGTATTGAGTGTCAATGGGAATTGAAAAATAAAAATAGGAAAATAAAAATAAAAACATGCAACACATGGAAAAAGAATGAAGACAGGACAGCTGGACGCCCATCTTCACGGGACTTGGCTCTGGTTTAGAACCTTGCCTGATCCCCCAGGAGGCTCTGTCCAGACTCTAAGGGTCCTGCGTGTCGGTGTGGGAAGAGTCTCCTGCGGACAGGATCTGGGTCTGTCACCTTCAAGTTTCACCCTGTCAGCGGCAGCCTCGTCACACTGCTGCCTGCTGTCTCTTCAGTGGCAAAAAAAAAAAGGAAATCTCACACACACACACACACACACACACGCGCGCGCGCGCATGTGCGTATGCCAGTGCGCGCTCGGTTATCACTTAAAATGTGCTCCATCCCTGTCTTTTTAATGGAATTATTCCACAGTATTAGATTGCAGTCATTTATAATAGTACCTCTGGAAACAAGGTGGACGTTAAGAAGCTGGTTCTTTGAGGTAAGATCTGAGGCTTACATACCCTATTGACATTTCTGTTAGGAACTGGGTTGTGCGCTATGGCACCAACGCCAGCACTCCTGTTACGGGGCTTTGTGATGTCCCCAGGGGGGCAGACCAAGCACACTGGTCCGGGCGGGTCAGGCCGAGGTAGGGGGGCTGTGGCCCTCATAGGGGCGGCGGAGGCACCCTTTGCAAGAGAAGGGAGTTTTGAGCCTCACTCCAGAAGGCAGGACTAACAGCAGTGTGTAAAAAGTAACGGCGGCAGCCTTTGGTTCAACATGAAGAAGTTCGTAACATAGAAATGGAACACAGTGCCTCATAACCGAGTCACTGGAGGCTTTCAAACACAGGCTCAATGGCTACTCACGCAGGCTACTTCAGAGATGGATTTGCGTGGGGTCAGGGCCGATTCTGAAATTTTGTGGCCGTATAAAATTCTGGGATGAAGCTTTACTCTTTGATATTGTATTTGATATAGTCCTTGCTACTGTAAGATTTCATGCTCGGAGAAAGTAGTTCATAAATATAACCAGTTGATATCATCACCTGACAATAGCTCAAGAAAATAGATGAAAATCTGGAGGGAAATATTTTGGTGAAGAACATAGTAAATGAACCGCAACAGGCACGTCCGAGACTAGGAGGGTGGACAGCTGGAGCCTCGGCATCAGAAGGCACGCCGGACCTGTGTCCTCGACCTGCAGGCCATGCGGCCTTGCAGGCTGAGGTCTTCCGGAGAAGCTATTCATTGCGGAGTGGCTGTTATGTTGGCTGTCTCATCAATTAGGACAATGATACTCTGGATCCTTGGGTTGGTTGCCTGCACTTTAGCCACAGGCTGCTGCGGAAATTGAGCCTCAGGCCCGCTCTTGACTTTGAGCTCTCTGTGGGAGCAAGTGGTAAGTGACCCTACTCAGTTCTTTGAACTGAAGGGGGAAAGAATACAGCAGAGCGAACTCCGGGGATGAACCCCAAAGTGGGAGAGCATCTGCGTGGGGCGCCCCGCCTGCGAGGGGCGGGCTCGCGGGGACAAGGGGCGGCGCGTGGAGGCTGCGCAGCCCGGGGGCAGAGGCGGCTGGATCAGACGCCCCCCCCCCCGTCAGGGCCCAGCTGTACCCCCACCCACGATTCAGTTTCACTGCGGTCACAGCATGAAATTCAGAGTTCACGTGACTACTTTGCGCTTTGTGTTTTCGTTCCATTTATCAATTTTCCTGCGGGCCTTCTGGTTGGATAAGCACAAAATGCCTATATCTAAATCTGTATCTAGACATATTTAAGAAATATCATTTCATAAAATAATTTTACTCAACCTTAGAAATATTTGAGGGTTCTTTTTTATCCCTTTGCAAGTGATCTTTTACATCCCTCAAATGTGACTCAATTTAATATCAGGTAAAATAAGGAACAGACATTAAAATTAGCCCATCTTCAGCATTTGTATTCTAATGTTCTCCTAAGATACAACCGTGGATTGACGGCAATGATAGCGCAAATATCAACATCTTTCACAGAAGACGTGATAATTACCTGGAACACCTGGTAGGTGCAGTGAACCGCAATAAACAAGGATCGATACGGCATCGAGCCGGGGGAGGAGCTGGGAAGGGCCAAGGCAGTGACGAAGACGGGGGGGCACCTGTAACTGGGCTCATCGCAAGGACGTCAATGTGGGAAACAGGCAGGAACAGACTTAGTGTGAAGGCGGAGCTTAAAAATAATGAAACCAGAAACACAGGACATGCCTATGGAAGGCCGTGGTGCCGGGAGAAGGAGGAAGCACAGTCAGTGCGGGTGGCGGGGGTGAAAAAGGGCCCGGCAGCCAAGGCTGTGCAGAGGCAGGTGTTCTCGGTGGTGCGCGCTCTTGTCTACCCAGACTCCTCACGTGGGGTCTACACACAACAGCGGCGGCGGCGGCCGCCCGGCTGTCTCCTCAGGCCACATCGCAGCCTCAGGGGCCTGACACCATCCACCTCAGCCTCCCTCAGGCGGCCTGCTCTCCCCATAGTGGTTAAGAGAATCATGTTATGCCCTGGCTGGTGTGGCGCCGCTGGTTGGAGCGTCGTCCTGAAGCGAAAGGTTTTGGGTTCATTTCCTGGTCAGAGTGCATACGAGAGACAGCCGGATCAATGTTTCTCTCTCACATTGACGTTCCTCCCTCTCCCTCTCTCTTCTCCTCCCTCTCTCTCTAAAAGCAATAACAAAATGTCCTGGGGTGAGGATTAAAAAAAAGAATCATGTTAAAATGTGTACATCGACTATCGAGCCATTCCCCTGGGTGCACTAAGAGCAACTGCCACGGCTGTGGCAGCGGCCGGCCAGGCCGCCTGCCCCAGGCCCATGGCATCGTCCCGAGCGTAGTTTCTCCTTTGCTCTGTGCGCTCTGGCCGCGCTGGCCTGCACCCTGCTCCTGCACACGCAGGCAGGAGGCTGTCCCCCGGCGCGTGAGCTTGCTGCTCCCACCCTCAACGCGCCTGGCCCCGACGTGTGTGCGGAGTGCTGCCTGCCCTCCTCAGGTCGGGCTCCGGTGCCACCTTCTCAGGGGGCCTGTCGCCTCCCCCGCACCTGCGTCGCTGCCACATCCCCCAGAGCGCTCCCCACTGTCTAGCGTGCTGCACACCCCCTGTACTTTACTCTCTGCCTCCCGCAGCCGAAATGTCAAGGTGACAAGCACAGGCACTGGCCGTCTGGTCACTGCTGTGCCTGGCTGTACAAAGGGTTCGCCAGCAGGTGCCTCATAAATGAGTCATCGACCATGTGGCCACTCTCCGGCTAGCTCAAAGTTGATGGCGGTCGTGAGAGGCTCCTACGTACATCCCCTCTCCCTTCCTCATCCCAGAGGCCCCAGCTCTGACCTCCGGCCCTGCCTGCCTGCTAATTGGTTCAGTGGGCTTCTTCTGACCTCTCACCTCTCTTCCCAGCCTGGACCCCCCAGGGGACGATGCCGGTACGCTGGAATCCATGACTCCTTTGTCCTTTGCTGCACCTGCTTTGCTGATATCTCCTGTCCAGCTCTGGGAAATACCACCGCCTGTTTTCCCTTCTCCTTCCCTGTCTTGCCAGTCACAGCCTATGTGGCCAGTGGGCAACAAGGAATTCTAACAGACATGGCGCCCTCTGCCGGATGCAGTGTCCCTGCTGGGAGTGACGCCACTGCAGGTTCAGGGTCCACTCCCGGGAGCCCAGGGTGCAGCTTGCCCTGTCACTTGTCTTTGGCCAGCGCCATCCATCTCCCTGGGAGACCCTTCCAAATCATCGCCCTTCTTCTCAATCAGTCTCTAAGACCTCATTCTCAAATGTGACCTTGCCTGGCACAAGTCCAAAAACGGGAAGCCACTGTGGTGAACAGGCTGGCCTTGGCACAGCTGAAGAAGGACTCAGAAAGCTTAAAGAAAGAAGAAAGTCCCCAAACTGAAATGAAGAGGGAAAATTAAAGAATGAAGAAAATGGAACAGAATATCCAAGGATGTGGCGCGGTTCCAAACACCTTAACATACCTAAGCTGAGTACAGAAAGAGGGAAATGGGGGAATACAGCAGAAGAAACATTTGAAGTAACAATGGCTGAGAACTTAGATCATGCGTGCCAAAGAGTGGAGTGACATATTTAAAACGTTGAAACAAAAATGCCATTAACCTAGAATTCTATATCCAGCAACATTATCCTTCAAAAGTAGAGACTTTCTTGGGCAAGGACTGAGGGAATTCATTGTCATTACACCTGCCCTACCAGAAAAGTTGAAAGAAGTTCTTGAGGCAGAAGGAAATGTTGGAAGTCAGAAATTTGGATCTGCATAGAGAAACAAAGAGCGCTGAAGGGGAATAAAGGAAGGTAAATAGAGCTTTTATTTTTCTGATTCTTAATTGGTCTGAAGGTAACTTTAATAATAGTGAAGATGGGTGGTTATAGTGTATACTTCAGGGGCACGAAGGACAGCGATGCCCGAAGGGTCTGAAGGGGGATTGGGCGCTCTCTCTTATAAG